GAGTTGAGTAATTAGCACTGGGTAATGAGTTGTTAATGTGAGCGTCGATGTGCGTGACGGTAGAGGCGTGATTGTGTAGACAGTGTAGAATGAATTCAAGTCGAAGGTGTTAGTGTTAATTGGGTTTTCATGGGGAATGTTGAAATCTTGAAGGGTAGGCTTAGTGTGTTAGGGGTTTGGTGTGACTTGGGTGTGAGTAGTGATGTCAAGGTAGTGTGAAATGTGCACTTACGGAATGCTGGTACAGTCGATGTCAACTATAACGCAGACGGTGGGAATTGATTTGTTGTATGAAAAATCAGCATATATTGCTGCGAGCAGGCAGCGAAGAATGCGGTTTTGTGATGGGATGATTGGTGGGGTTTGCTTCCCGCGTGGTTTGTATCGTGAGAGGCACTTGCTAGGTGCACCTAATTACTCAGTAGCATGTTGCCTCGTCGGCCTTCGAAACTATCTTTGTACAGAAATCTAGATAATGAGTACCAGTTAGCGCAGATTAGCGGAAACCACTGTCACGTGAAGTTAATCCTGGAGCGTGAGTGACGATTGGAAATTGAGGCGAACTCGGTACTTTTTGAGACACTAGGCGCAAGCAACTTTGCGGCTGATCCTAATGGCCGACATGTCTGTCGAGAACATCTGACCCCAATCTATCAACAAATATACGCTTCTGCGTTCGTGCTCTGTGGTCATTTTAATTTCTCGTATACCTATCCAAAATGGCTTTCCCTGTATAGTTATTTGTCACAGAGCATGGTTTTGACGCAATCGTGACACCATTATCATCAGCTTGGAAATCCCGTGTTTTTGACATAATCACAAATTTTACAAGTTACTCACAGTCATTGTTGAAAGCACCCGACGTATTCAAAATCCCATGTTCGCAAATTTTTTTTAAACATTGCACAATGAAGCCTGACTTATGTACGTTTTTTGTTCTGGGTAGGCATGTAGAGAGTAAGGTCGCAACTAAGCTAGCATACGACGCCACCAATCGAGTGACCAAAATTCAGGTGCTCGCTCCAATAGCATGCGAATCCATGGAAACGACCACTTAAGTCGAGGCTTATTAAGAAGCGTCAATATCTTCACCTCAACTCAAATCAGAATTTGTGTTGTTCACTTTAGAGGTCTACGAAATCATTTACATAGCATAGAATACCCGAATCCTAGTATGGAGATTCCTGGTACAACACAACAGGCTTCATTAACCAATCACAAGCCAGAACCACACGCCAGGCGACGTCCATCCGAGTCCACCACGCTTGTCATGCGGCTTAATATATACTACTCCTCATTCGTGTGTTTCCCTGGTTGGTTGCCTATCTTCCTCGCGTGCCATTGGAAAACAGGGAGACGGGGGATTGGCTGAGGCAAGCGTTGTCCAATATGTCTGCGCCCCCAGATGTCGCCACTGTAGTATACCCGAGCCCTAACAGGAAAATGACTAGTACAACAGAACAGACTTTATTAACCAATCTCGAGCCAGAGCCACAAGTAAGGCGCCTTCCATCCGAGCCCGCCACGCTGGCCACGCCGCACATTATATACTGCTCCTCAGTCGTGTCCTTCTCTGGTTGGCTGCTTATCTTCCTCGCATGCCATTGGAACTCTGAGAGACACGGGATTGGCGAAGACCAGGTGGTCCAATATGTCCGCGCCCTGATCCGACGCCACTGTAGAATACCCGAGCCGTAATAGGAAAAAGACCGGTTCAACAGAACAGGCCTTATTGACAAATCAGTAGCCAGAGCCACACGCCAGGCGCCTTCCATCCGAGTCCACCAAGCTGGCCACGCCGCTCATTATATACTGCATCTCATCCATGTCCTTCTCTGGTTGGCTGCCTTCCTTTCCCGCC